TGTATGTGTGTGTGTGTGTGTGTACATGAATGTGTGTGCCTATTGTGTATCAGATTGGTCTCTAGCGTGCAGCATGTTCCTATTCAGGTGTTCTGCAATAAAATAACTGATAAAGTATCCTTACTTGGCTGGCCACTATGTGGAGGGGCGTGTTCCCTTGATGATCCCTGAGATTAGCTTCGACCCCTCTTTCCAGCATCATCTTCACTACCTCAATATTGCGGCTCGCAGCCGCCAGGTGGAGCAATGGAACGGTCATCATTTCCTGACCTTTGACATCGGCGCCACGTCTGATCAGAAGCGAGGCTACTTCAAAATGGCCGGCCGTTACGGCGGAGCGCAGAGGCGTGAATCCTGTGTTATTGAACGACTTAACAGTACAGCCAGCGTGGATGATGTCGTCGATAATATTGACGAAACCGTTGGCAGCAGCGATGTGGAGGAGCGTGTCACCTTCTTCATTAACCGGGTATTGACCTATGCAGGCGCGGCCAGTCGAGAACAGTATCCTAAAAGCTTCCATATTTCTCAGCATGACTGCTGAAGCAAGAGGTGTTTTCCCGTCTACCATGAAATTGACATTGGCACCACTTTGCACGAGGTCTTTCAGCTTCTTGTCCTCTCTGTCCCTAATGTACACATGAACCATGCAGCTTCTTGATAACGGCAGCTCTTCCTCAAGTCCAAGCATAAGGTATCTCTTTAAATATTTCCAGACAGGTAATGAGTCAATCCTACTTAGGGTGTTTCTTACTCCTAACATTTTTCGAAGTTTCAATCGTGCCTGGAACTCGAGGGAAGCAGGTACTGGTGAGCATATCTTATTCACAGTTTCTCTCTCGATTGCTCTGTATTGATCAACAAGTTGTTGGTTTTGGCTTACTTGTAATAAAACCAGCATGGAAGAAATTCCACAAAAGTTTGGGTAGGTTGCTTCCATCAAAACTCGCATCAGCAAATATCGCTCACGGAGTTTGTCGTGCTGAGCTGAGCACGCTGCATGCTCTATCACCCACGCCAGAGGAGACTTTCCTACCTCTCCATGCCCACAATTAACCATGATTTCATCATGAACGTTTGCGCCGTAGTAGACAAGGAGTCTGGCAATCTCGAAAGCTGGCTCTTCGTCAAGGAGAGCTTTCTTTAAGGGTGTTTGTTGGTTTTCATCACGGGTTTCCAAATTGCATCCGTTTTCCGCAAGTAAACAAAGCCCAAAGACATCTCTCTTTTCCACAACATGGTGCAAAGCCGTGCGACCTATGGAGTCTTGCGCGTCCACGTCACAGCCAGCGTCGATCAACATCTGGCAAATCTCTAACATATCAGAGATTTTTTTGTTCGTCCACGTATTTCTGCAGCGTAAAAGTGAGAGAGCTGCAGCTATCAGTGGCGTGTTTCTAGATTCCTTCTCAACGATTTTCACGTCACAGCCATTGTCAGTGAGCACCCGCACACAGTTGACGCTGCCGTAATGGCAAGCACGATAAAGCGGATTTATTCTATTAAAATCAGGGGTGTTTATGTTGGCACCATGACGGATCAACACTTGAGCAGTTTCATTAAAATCGTCCGAACAGCATGCAGTCAGAGGTGTTTCTCCTCCGGGGTTCTGTTGGTTGACGTTAGCGCCCAAAGACAAAAGCTCTGAAATGGAAATAAAACGTGTTATATAAAAATGCTTATTTCGTATCATTTTAATGAAGGTGTTT